GCAGGAACCAACGATCAATGGCAGAAAACGAGTGTGCTGAGTCCACCGGTTCGTGTGGAGTTGATGGTGGGCCGGATGGTGTAAATTGAGGAGACCGCGTGGATTGGACCAGCGATCGGCAGTCTGTCGAGGGAATCAACAATTCCGAAGCGAGTGGTTTAATTGTGATTACTGCCCAGGCTGAGACCGAAAAGTGAGCGAACGAGTGAAAAGACAGAGCCGGTCGTGAAAAGAAAGTAAGAGGAGAAATCAATAACGAGAGGTGAGACTTGAACGGGGTTGAAACCGACACAAAGGACCGACCCCAGGCCAGGCGACAGATAAGAAAGGCGGAATGTCAACAAGTGCGTGCGACTTATCAGAAAACCCCCCCAAAATGCACGGCCAAAGTCAGAAAAAAAAATATGAAAGAGAATAAAAATAAAAGTAAAAATAAAAATAAGAATTGCAGCAAAAAGACGGAAACCCACGCGGACCATGTTTCAGTTTTTCCCGATGTGTAGAATGAAAGACTAAGAGAGGGAGGGCCCTGAAGTCATGGTTGTGCAATTGGAGGGGGCGTTGAAAGAGGGAGAAAGGAATCTGTCGATCATTCTTGAACCCCATTGTTGCTGTCGGACTGGCAACTCAACTGTTGACCATTGCTATCAGTCACTCTGCCTATTCCCTCTATCTTTGCTGCATCAATTTCAAATGAAGCCATCTCCTCCGGCTTGATGAATACCTAGAGAATAGATTGATCGCGTCCGATCGATGCAGAAGTGGACAGAGTCATGGAGATATGGTGGCCCCCACTTGAGAAGTGGTGGCGGTGGGAGAAAAGCGAACTTGAGAAAACAAGTGGAAACGAAACTCTGAACCTTGAAGCTGAATGATTCGATTGCCTGCTGAAAAGAAACCCCCCAAAAGGACCCAAACAGGCAACGGTCATCCCCTCCACCAATCAAGCCTCTACCCAGCCCGGCCCTAATTCCTCGTCCCGATCAGGGCCAGACTTAGGGCTTATCTTAGTGTTATTTAGTTTCTTAGTCTGAGTCCCCCGCCCCACCCAAGAAAACGCCACTGGTGCTTTCCCACTGCAACCCAGGGGATTCCCTCCGCCGCCCCCTCAGGTACGGTCGGGGCGTGAATGGACAATTCCTTCAAGAATCAAGATTAAGGATGCCTGACATTCTACATCTTACACGGGATAGAAACCACATACTCAATCACATCTTAAGAACACCTTGGCTTTCCATCAACAAAAGACCCAACCAAGGGTTCTGGACCTGTCACTCGAAACCATAAAAGTCCCCGGTCTAGGCTCAGCACGGTGCCGTGTGTGTGCGTGTGTGTGTGTGTGTGTGTGTGTGTGTGTGTGTGCGGCACGGCTCCTTGTAAGGCTGCGCGAGGGCTTCAGCTCGACGCCCCTTAATCTCACTATCTCAGGGTCTCTCCTGAAACGAGATGCACTCTGTCATACGCAGTGGCCGCTGGCTAGCTGCATGAGCCTTTGGAGCTAGTTCCAATAGTGATCTGTTAGCGGTCTCTTTCCATCTCATGTAAACTTTATTCCGGTTCGGGCAAGGCAGTATCCACGGGAGTGTGAGTTCACAAAGGCATCACAAGCCTAGACAAAAAAGGACGATATCATTCAGCATCATCAGTTCCACGACCCAGTTTTTCTTCAAGATCTCCCCATCGAGATCCGAGGGAGAGAGAGATAGAGTGCCTGTCCACTGTGTCGATCTACGCGTATAATGTTCCCTGGTATTGACCCGTCTGGAGTCTTCTCCGCATTGCTTTGTTTCTAAAGATAGAGAGGCATGACATTATCATGACCACATGGTCGGCCGAGTTGTGCATAACTTGAGCACAATCTGAGGGTGGCTTCGACAACGACTTCTTTTTCTGTCCGATGTCCGATGATTCAAACATCCAGACGTCACCATGGTTGAGTTCATGCTGTACCCGATGCCAGCGTAAGACATACAGCTCATTTTTGAGACGCCTCCTAAGGATCGGGTGTGTTGGGTGTGGTGTTTGAGCAGCTCTGGAGGGATTTGCGGTCTACCGGTAATATTCTCATCATCGTAACTACTACCTATGCAGTATGAACGCTCGACTATCAGGGTCTATGGACGTTTCGAGTTTTCGGTTAGATTGGGTCCCCTACTGCCACATGTAAGGCTAGGGTATCTCGGATGTCCTTTGCGACCCAGGCACATATACAAGCGCTTCTGGTCTGTAGAGAACAGACTCTATTCCAGAGTAGGGGACTCCGTACATGCCAATCTCACTGGCGAGCAACGACCGACTGACCCGTCACTTGGGGGATGTCTGTTTGCTTCACCGCCGTCGTGAGTTGGCCAACCTCAACTTCCAGGCCTCTACGGCTCACAGACGATAAACGGCCAGCGCGATCACTGTTGCCAACACGCGTGGTGTCTGTGGCCTTATTGGGTGCGAGTTTGAGAGTGGGTTTTCGCGATCCTGCAACACATGTAGGATGGAGGCTGCGCCAGTTCGCCTAGTTGAAGCATTTCCCGCAGTCCATGTAAGCACCGTTGCCAGCAAACGTGTGACTGGGAGGGGTAGACGGGTAAAGCGATTCTCAGTGCGTCAAGGCACCGCGGTAGCAAGAGGAAGGTTCTGGTAATAGAGGGGGACCGGCGTCCTGAGCAGAAGAAGAAAAGCACCTCATTCTCATATCATCGGAGATGGACGGAGTAGTAGCAAAAAGAGATGACAAGAGTGGGATTCGAACCCACGCCACTTGCGTGACTAGGAATATTTGCTCTTGAGGAGCAGAAATGTGTGATCAGATGAACCTGACCCTAGCGCCTTAGACCGCTCGGCCATCTTGCCCGGTTGTTGAATTAGTCAGTCTAGTAGGCATTCATGTTCCCCGGCCATGTGTACAGTGCCCTAGATTACTATGATGTTTGGACGCAGGCCATCGCACACAGGCTAGGCTTGCTTACTTGGTCTGATCATGGCTGTGGGCTCAGATGAAGGCACAACGTCTCATGCAATCCACCCCCCCCCCCCCTTCACCTGAATAAGCAGGCTCCAGGAGGATACATAGGACTATTGACTGGCAGTTGGGGGATGGATTCGCTATTGAACTACGGGGAATCATATTAAGTCGCACCCGCTCTACCGTCGGCGCAACTCCGAGGGCGTGTACCGCATACTCGATCTGTCACGACCATGTCAACGACCCGATGAGGTCATGGCCGTATGCACGACCGATGCAACTCATCTCGCTTGGATGCACGTCCGATGAGTAAGATGGTCTGCGTCCAGAAACCAGGCAGTAAAGAAAAGGGGCAAACTCAAAATCGGACCACAGTGGGGTGTCTGGCGTGGCGAGGCGGGAATGGCCGACACTTTGCTCTGGTAGTCGTATGCAGGTGCAGGACAGTGGCAAAATGAAGTAGAACAACGCGATAATATGTGGGTTGACGAGTAGGGCAAAAATATCCGACTGAGTCGGTGCAAAAAGTGATGACAAGAGTGGGATTCGAACCCACGCCACTTGCGTGACTAGGAATACTGCTCGGATGGAGCGAATATATGTGATCAGGTTGCCTGACCCTAGCGCCTTAGACCGCTCGGCCATCTTGCCTTGGATGCTGATTTAAAATGTTGGTGGCTTTATTAACGGCGAGAAACAGGAGGCATGTCGCTGGGTGCTTTCGGTTCGCATGCAAGGCTGATCCCACACCGTTCTGGCTATTGCATGGTACCCTACTATCAAACTCCAAGGTGTCAGATAAATAGGTCTCTGGGACCCTTGTTGTGGTATTCGCCCTTTGCAACAATTCTAGTGAATCTAACATCGTGTGGCTGAGCCTCTGCTTGCAGCCTTGTAGAATGGGTGATGGTCATCGCAACTCTGTGGGGAAGGCAGCCATTTGCCGGTGTATTGGTGCACATCTCAGGCCATTCAATGCTGCGTTTGGGTTCGTGGCTCTCAGGGGCTCGGTTTGGTTTTCCGTGTGCTTGAGGCTAGTCTAGCTGGAGAGGTACGTTGGCTCTTGGCAGCCCAATGCGCTCGGTGTATACCAGCATGCTGGTGCTTGTTGGCGTGCAGTGGTATACTGTTGGGTCTGGTTGTCGGTGTCTTGCCGTGGTCGGTGTCCATGGCCTGTGTGGTACCTCGCATGTCACACTGGCCGTGCTTCTTTTGTATGTGGTATGTGGTACATGCTTCTGCTTGTGGCTTGTGTCCTTGTATGGCTATCGGTCTCCGGTGTTCGGGTACCATATAAACGCAGTGGGTTTGTTCTCGCTGAAAATGGCAGGGGATCTGTCAAATCTTACTTGTCATTGTTTTCATATGCACTCGCCTGGTGCGGCCCTCATAGTTGGTTCCCTCCCCCCTGGTCCGATATATCTCGCGGTTGTCTCGTCATGGTTGTTGGGGCCCGGACGTATAGATGATTGCTGTGGATATTCTGTGGTTTCGGGGTGAGGTTCGTGCTTCGTGATCCTGATAGACATTAGTTTCGCCTTCCAGCTCTTGTTGGGCGTATTGACTTGTTGTTTTCATGGGTGGTGGTCTGGTCGGCCGGGAGGCTATGACTTCCAGTAACAATACTGTAGCATCCAGCCCAAACCGATATATAACCACAACCCAATTCACCACGTCAGTCCACCACCACCCAACACCACCTAAGGATAACTTATACCTACTACAAATAGAAAGTTACAAGCTCAAGCACTACTCACACTACTCAGAGGATACCTCCAGCACAACCCCCCAGCACCTCAACTGCAAACTCACACAACTGATTCTCGCGCCGGGCCAGATTGTTCCCTACATATACTAAAGTCTGTAAGCTCTTTTCATCAAATAGGCAAGATGGCCGAGCGGTCTAAGGCGCTAGGGTCAGGCAACCTGATCACACATATACGCTCTTCCGAGCAATATTCCTAGTCACGCAAGTGGCGTGGGTTCGAATCCCACTCTTGTCATTACTTTTTGCTCCTTCTCCCCTCCCTCCATCCTCACCCACTCTCTTCCCTCCTCCCGTAGCGGGGGAATCACGCACGCCGCAGGGGAACGCAAGGGGTGGGATAACTACGTTTTGCTCACCCGTCGACTGCGCACAACCCTACGGCCTACTCAGCGACACGGCACTGCCTTTTAATTTCCCTGCCAAAGTTGAACCCCCCCGGCTATATCAATCTAATCTAATCTGATATTTCGATCAAATCAACGGAGTTCGCCTGTATGCAACCCCCCTTGCACCGAAGGGTCCACACACTGCCCTCTCCACTGCGTCGGAGGTCGGAGGGCGAAAACAGGTTCATACCCGAGGACCCTTGTTCGGTGCGATTCTACAGGTGAGATTTGCTCGATCGTATACATTATAAAGTAAAACCAGCGCTGATGATATTGTGGTCGTGGAGTTTGATGAAGACGGACGCGACGGCCTCATGCTGCCTACGAGTGGCCAAGGATTTTTTTTTCTTCTTTTCTTTTCTTTTCTTTCTTTCTTTCTCTTCTCTTTCTTTCTTAGACAAAGGCCCCATTACAAGTCGAGCACCATGCGGATACGTTCATCATTTGATTAGGGATTAGACCGCGGGTGAGGTACAGCGGACGGATTCTGCGTAGGCTCATCGCTTCATTACACATGTATACATCATCAATACGGGAACGACAGATCCGGGAGCGGTTCATCCAAGCGCCACCCGGCGTGGCCCGCAGGAGGCGCGAAGTGCCCACCGGCCTCAACGGCGCCCGGGACCGGCTGCATCGAGGAGAGATACATCATCGGCGCCGCAGCGCCCCCGACGGCCGGCATTTCCCTCACGGCGTCCGCCCTCCCAGCCGGGTCGTCCGCATACCATGACTCCATGTAAGCCGGGGCACCACCGGGAACCAGCGAGGGCAACATCCCAGGCGGCTGTGCGCCGGGCACACCTGCCGTCGTGGAGGTCGGGGGCGGGAAGATCCCGCGCAGGTACGAGGGATTCTCGGAGGAATAGCCCGCCAGCCGTCTTTGGAGCTGTTCGTACCACTCGCGGTTCTTGACGGCCACGACGTGGTACCATTTGCTCGGGACGCGGAATTTCTGGTTATCGCAGGCTTCCGATAGGGCCTGCGATAGGCGATCCAGGTATTCGTCGACGTTAATCATCTGCGGAGTGATAACCTCGCTCAGAGGGCCGAGCTGGGTCATGTGGTAGATACGTAGAAGAGAGGAGACCCCCAAGATCATCCGCGTGTAGGTCATGTTTGGTAGCTTGCGCATGGTCGGAATGTCGCATTGCAGGAAGACGTCGAGGAGTTGCTGGGCAGAGAGCACCCATTTCGTGATGATCTGTACCCGCGCCGCGCTGATCGGCACATTGGCCCTATGTCGCTCCGTGTCGCCCTCGAGAGGGGGGAGTGTGTAATACCTGCGGGTTGCTGCGTCGGGGTCGCGGTAGCCCTCGCCCGCAGCTTGTTCATGGATCGCAAGGTAAAGGTAGTGGTATTCAAGATTCATCCAAGCTAGAGAGAATGAGTGTCTGGTGTTATGTCATCAACCGCGGACGTGGATACGTACTCGTGAACATATCCTTCGGAATCGACATCTTCCACTGCAGCATACGAGTGTCGAACCACTTGAGGATCGGCAACATCTGCGATTCCAACATATGAGTGTCCGTCAGAGTGTTGTCATGGCCTGCAGCAGCCAGTGTCTCATCCATGATCCTCTGCAGCCCGAACCATGCTGCCAGTTGCTGGTCCAAAGCACTGGTAGAGACACTAAGGTGCTTGACATAACCGCTGATGACAGCATTGTGGCAGAGCATGTTCGGTCGACGTGTCTGCATGCTAACACTGTAGACATGTCAGTAACTCAGACAGTAAAATGCTGGTGAGCGAGTGGCCCGTACTTTGATGCGAAATGATAGCAGCCGAGGACGGCCCGGGCCTGGTCACTATGTACTGATGGGGGCAATTCCCCCTCACCCGCATGGCAGCGTTGGGTCTTGCGACCAACGGCACCGGCTGCGATCCCAAGCTCTAGCGCCATAGTGGTTGCGATATGCGTGTATTGGTAATACTGCCCATGCATGGCCGATTTGGGAGGGAGGTAGTAGATAAGCATTACGAGGAGGGCTTGCACCAAATCCAGTGACTTTTCCTGCCTTAGAAAGAATCGCGTCGCGAAGCCGGCGAGAAGTTCTTCATGCAAGACGGTCGCGTGCGGTGTTTCAAGCGTTAGCGACGCTGCCGCGATGATGGATAGGAACAGCACTGGCTTCGTCCTGCGTAGGAAGTCGGCACTCGTGTCCCCTGGAAGAACAACCACCGGAAAGAATTGAGTGAGTTCAGAGATGAAGACGGACAGCAGCATCTGTGCCGTCTCCAAAGAGAGGATACCACGGTCGACGACATCTGCAGAGCCGGGCGAAGAGCTCATGAACGTCGAGCCAGTGGTGCTGACATGGGAAGGAGGGTTGGCAACCGGGCTTGTCACGATCGGGCGAGGAGGACAAGATGACGAGGCAGTCTGTAAACGGGCGGAGTCGGAGATGGTGGATGCAAAAGGTGTTGTTGTTGCCGCCGCGCGAGTGGGAGCCGTCTCTGAGACGGGACTTGCAGTGGTGGCGGTAGCGGCGGAGACGGCAGCAGTGTCGGCGGCGGCGGTGGTGGTGGGGGAAAGGGAGACAGCAGCGGCACCGGTGTCAACGCCGGCTGAATTCGATCTTTGATTCGGGGCATTCTGCTCGTGGAGTAAAGCGCGCAGGTCGCGGACATCTTTCTCCAGCTGGGCGACCCGTGATCCGGTCTTTTTTCGAGGCTGGCGTCGCAGGGTGTGCGCAAAAACACAGATCCGTCTGGTGCGGGTGCAACGTTGGCATTGATGCGCAATATTCGGATCCGGCAGGCAGCGGACTTTGAGGGCTCGACAATTTTCACACGACTGGTTCAAGGGCGGCGTTGGACCTGAGGGATGATGCGGACGGGCAGCAGCAGACATGATGTGCGCAAGGTGCAAGAGTTCGCTCAGGACGGACGGTGCCTGCCCTTCTGCATTGATAAGTTATTTATTAGACTTGCGTAGTGCCAAGACCAGTAGTGGAGGTTCGCTTGTCTGTGGGGAGTCAGCAGGTGCAGATCAACATCCCTGGCGAGGCCCAAGGGATTTGTGGCAAGCATTATCATAGAGTAAGAGCCGACCGCTCATGCTCATATGGAATTTCAGGGCTCCCCTCACCCAGAATGTAGTCGTGCTAGACCATGGGCAGAAGGGAGTTCATAAAGGCTTCGAGGACACTTGTGGTGTGGGCCTCTGCAAAAGCAAGCAAGCAGGCACGCAGGCACGCAAAGGTGTAAGATGCAGTCTAGCCAGTGGATCGAGAGAGCTCGGTGGGCCCAGCGGAAAAATAAAGCGTCGGAGGTCGGTGGTCGATTTCCCACCCGAAACTCCGACAGGGACGGGACTGGACTGGACTGGACTGGACTGGACTGCCCTTAAATTAGCCGGCGAAGGCCGACTGAGGTTCCCAGGATGATGTCTGAACGGCTGCAAGTCAGGTCCTGGAAGCACAATCGGTGCAGAGCACAGCTTATCGCTACATGCCGAGTAGTACTGGGCCTTCAGTGCATTCAGTCTAGATTGAAGGGCGACTGGTTGCTGGGGAAAGAAAAGGGGAAGTTTGGAAGTGTGGAAGTGTGGAAGTGTGTAAGTGTGTGGAAGTGCGGGCAAAAAAAGCGGGCTGCGGGCGCGGGCGCGGGAAGTTCAATTCAATTCATGCCTGAGGTGTCCTCATGCACATTGACTCCCCAACTCCGACCCATTACTGAGCTAATTTCTGCATGCTTTGCCTGACAACAACGGTCTTTAGAATTCTAAATTGAAAAGGACAAGCTATTCTTACATGCTACACCATTCAGTGACTGACTTTAAAATTATGTTCCTCTCCATTGATCGAAGAAGACATGCTCATGTTCAAAAAAAAGTTTTCCACTTCTTAGTCATCTCGTATTCGAATCATCCACACCACGACAGCTTCAAAGCGTCGCCGGGTTCACCATGCAGTAGTCCAAGTTATGAACACTCGTGTCGGGATTGCCGGTCCAGGTACTAACTCGATTAGCCGGTCAATGTCACTCAAAATCAGGCTCTGGGACAACTCACGGGAAAGGGTGCGAAGTGCCACTGCCTCCGAAGACAGCAAAAGTAAGGATGAAGACACAGATCTGCGTCCCGCCATCCAGAGCAGCGGAGACAATGTAGTTATACTTGTTGAAAAGGTGAGGGTGGTAGCGACGCAGCCAGAACTGGGCAGCGAAGCCGAGAGCGAAATAGACCGGAATGGAGGCATTGATGCCCACGAACAGCCAGCCCATGTACCACAGAATGATCGAGGTATTGAGGTAGGAGAAGATGCCGGAGGGGTAGAAGCGGTTCGCCAGCCAGAACGGGACAGGCACGGCGAAGCCGACCAGATACGAGATCGTGACCCATTGGTACCGGCCACCGATGGAGAACATGTCCTTGGCCATGCTCCAGGCAATCGCAAGGCTGTTGAACTGGTAAACTGAGATCAGCCGGGTTCCTCTTTGCCTGGGAAGCCAGAAGGGCACTTATCTGAACATTGGCACCGCTCCAGATATTGGTACCGTCTTCGGAGAGCAGGATTTCCGATTGGTTCTGCACGATGCTTCAGGACGGCAGGTCAGTACACACATGGAAATCGTAACCGTGGACTAGAATGGGGTCGCACATCAACATCATCACATAATTGAAGAGGGCCCCGGTAATGCACCCGCTGACTTGCACGAAAAAGGTGCACCGTGGCGATAAGTGGACCTGCTGCGCAAGTCGTAGGTCCTTGGCTAGAACCTGCCCCTGCTGGAGAGAGTTATACGTAAAACAAGTGAAATAGAGGTCTGAGGACGCATTAGCAACAAACAAAGGTGGAGAGTGCAACCGGGAAGACACATACTGGCCAATGGCTTGCCAGGGAACATATAGCCCGCCAACATCTGACAGATTGGCTGCACATTGAACTGGAATCCGGTCAGCCCATATTGGGCGCCGAAGAAGAGCATGAAAAGAAGCGTGAGCAAGTTGGCAATGATGAACCCCCACCAGGGGAGCGTGGACTTCATGGCATACAGACAGCCCATACCGACGGCGAAACTGCCAAGGAGCACTGCTCCCCACCACCAGAGCGGCGTGTCATAGTACAAGTTGCGCAGCATGAGCCGGTAGTGTGGATCCAGAGAAGTGTCATTCACGCGACGCTGCAACCGCTCCTCCGGGGTCTCCTGGTTTGCCCAGAACTTGTATGTCTCAGGCTTGAGCCACTTCTTGAGCTGGCTCGGTGCAGCCCACGCCCAGCCCACCTTGATATCGTCAAAGTTCCATAGCAACATATGCGTCAATGTAGCAGTTAGACCCATGTTCGATGTGATGAGGTAGGCGACGTAAGTGCCGGTCAGCCAGGGCAGACCTTGCTCCTGCAGGGCTTGAGGATCAACAGTATAGTCCGCATTGAGGATGAGGGTTTGATTGTAGGCATTGTAGTTTGTGGAGTTTGAGTCACCATAGTAAAGCAGCTGAGACAGGAACGGGAAGTCTTGCGAGCGCCAGATGTTACCGTAGTACACACCCATGAAGAGTACAATGCACCCAATGTAGCCGATAAGGTTGTTGGTCAAGTAGTAGAGCGGAACCCAAAGTGGCGAACCGAGAGATGCTATATAGTTCCAGTCAAAACAAAGGGAGAGGAATCCCAGCCCTTCGTTCCCAGAGGCACCACCAAACAGATTGGTGAATACCAGACTGTGCTGGTTGGCCAAGCAGAAGATGGAGACACCCTCCAGAACGGGGAAGATGTATTCGGGGATGATCGTCCAGACGAAGAGCGCCCCGAAGAAAATATAGAAGATCTTCAATTTTGCCTTCGCCTCTTGCTTGTCCTTGTGTATGGACTCGAGAAGAGTAGTGATGGGCAACGTCATGGGCCAGATCATCTTGACCGGGCGCACGATCACATCGCGCAACAGGCCCGCAATCCCGAATCCGATCAGCTGGGAGGAGAGGACGATGAAAATGGCGGCGGCATGGTTGGGATAGCCACCGTAGAAGAGCTGTTGGGCCGAAAGTGCTTCAGTGGCTAGTGCAGACTGAGTGGCAGCTGAGGACATAAGGGCAATAGCAGCGTGTTCTTTGGCATTGAACGGCCCGGGGTTCAACAGACGTCCGATCATGCCACGGCGGGGAATGGCATACGCCATGGCTTCTCCCAAGATATAGGCAATGACAGTCAGGAACACCTGGGAAACGTAGATGGTCTGCGGCTTGAAGTAAAAGATCTCCTGCAGCACACCACCAAAGATAGACAATCCAGCTCCTGTATGAGATTAGTCATAGACGCCGCCTGGCCTTTGGCAATGCACAGACATACCCAGAAAAACCATCCGGAAACTCCAAGGGTTGAGGGAGGGATCATCCTCGACCTTGATGATCTGGGTGACTAAATCCGCCGCAGTGCTCACCACCTGGTCGCTCTCGAAGCCTTGGTCCTCGTCCGCAGGAAACGTTTCTCCCTTCTCGAGGATCCTGGGCTCCATCGAAGATCGATCGTGTCCAGACTTCTCCTCATACTTGTCAGTCAGCCCCTCGTCTATCGAGAGCCCCGCTTGTTTGATCTCCATGGTTGCAAGAATGAGAGATGTGCGTCCTTGCACCAACACCAATGACGGATGGAGTTGCCAACTTATATGAACCAAGGGGGGGCCCTCACACCCTTTCAGAACCGGCCGACCGGCTCGTGTTCCAGTGGCGAAGGATTCAATTTGCAGCTGATAAGCGAACCATACGTTGCTAATTGCTAAGTTATCGTCTAATGCCTAGCTCCGACGCAACGCGGCATGCAGCATCAGTATCGAGGCTAAGCATCGGCTAAGCATTTTTAGTGGCGCTACCCGAGGGGACTAGCTGATAAGGACCCTGCTCGGTTACAGTAGGCCTCACGTAAAGGCATTCTGAGATGTTCATAGTCTCGTCTCGGATTGGGCGCGATAAGACACCCCGCCATTTTGGTGGGGGCATCAACAAAATCCTTTCTCGCACTCCGTCGGACTTGCGCGGGGGGGTGTCGGGTCCAAGCGACACCCCAGGGTACTAGATATCAGAACGGTAATTACCGGCCTCCCCACAGGTTGTCGGGTCACTCGAATCATTTTTGGGTCGGGGGGCCAGGGATTTTTCCCATGGTGCATACCGTGAAAACAATAGCTGCCAGAATATTAGTTCATGTTTCTCACTACCAAGGATAATCTTGAATATGTGATATAGCACGTCTCTTAGAAGCTAATTGTGTAGAAGACAAGTAAGCTGAAAAGTAGCAGCAAAGCAACGGTAGTTAAGCACAAATACAACTTAGCTGATAAGGAGTGTGCAAAACTTACAGGGATTTGTGTAAGGTGGCAACTGTTCGGCTCTGGCTTCGTTGATATGACTTGTATTCACCGACCCCGACTCTCCTATAGATAGCGATGAGTTGACTGAACAGGCAATAAACTAGTAACAAGATAAGCTAGGTAGAGCAGATGTTGTTATTGACGGGAACCTCACTCTAGGTTGGAGCTGTTGAGTCAAGTATTCGTTTGTATAGGCTGCTAAAAGTCGCACCACTACTGCAAGGACCACAAAGACTTGAAAGGGTGCATGAGGGGCTTGCATATCTGGTCGTCTTGCATTAGTCGCCTGGGGTGGTTCGGAATCCGGCCCGCTCAGGCCTGGGTAAATATGACCTGCTGTCTCTGGAGCTTATCGTGATGGTCTCAGGTATTTACTAGCTCAGTAATATGATCGGTGTAATTCATACATATAGTACTTGGATTAAACAACTCAAGAACTACCTAGTATATTATACTAGGGCTTGGCTGCCACATAGCCATAGTGGCCAGGACCTGCCCGCCCGCAAGCCCCGCCAGCACCTTCATCTGCAAGTCATGGCTAGCAGCATAAGTGCCGCGAATCAGATCCTGTGTCCCCGCGGGCAGGGTCGCGATGACTCCAGTTGGTTTTTGTGCCGCCTCCGTCACATCTGCCCCCAGAGATTGGGTCAAATGCGAGCGAAGATAGCTAGTGTGGATGGAAGGTTGTGATGATAGCTAGCCCGATGCAGCCGCCCGTCACTCGAAACTGGGCAATCCTCCCATGGCGACCGCTAGAGAGAAAGAAAAGAGATAAGGTCTCCCGAGGCAGCAACGTTTTCGATTTTTTCTACCATCGAATATCGAATTAGCTTACCATGGGCTTTTCTTTCCGTAGCATATCGCGTCATCAATGTCAACAGCGGTATGTTGATCCCGCATGCAAGCCCAGCAAGGACTTGGTAGCCGTACTGACGGGCTGAGATGTCATCTTGCCCGGACACCGTTCCCAGGAGAACGTAGGATACCACTTGCATCGATGAGCCGATGCCAAGCAGATACAGCAGGGGTACCTTGAGCATCTTTGCCACAGTTGAGGCCAGAATTGACCCGACCGATGCTGCCACCGTGAAGGGAATGAACCGGATGGCAGCATGAAAGGTTGAGACTTGGTTGACCATCTCAAACCGCTGCTGGAGTTCGAACATAGCCACGAACCAGATTATCTCGAGGAAGACCACATTCCTGTAGACCTCCCGAAGGTTTGGTCTTTAGTACCGTGTTTGTGTATGAAGAGAGATAGGCAGGTGTACTGTAAACCAACTTACAGGAGCATTGCGAACCACACCCGATTCCGGAAAACCCGCCAGGGGAACGCATGCTCTCGGCTCCCGGTGCTCCGTGTCAACTCGTCCTTCCCAAGCGACGAAAACTATTCATAGAGACCCGAGACAATGAGTAATGTGATGGTGAACGCCGATCGCCAGGTGAATTGCTCGTTGGCTTCATCATGAGCAGTCACCAGCAGACGGGTCGCGGCCAGGAGCAGGATAGCTCCGAGAATGTCAACTCTGAGATAGGTTCTCTGCAAGGACCTAGCAAAATCAAGGCCAACACTAGCGTTTGGCTTATTATGATGGGGAAAGTTGTTACATCAAAAGCATGATCAGAGATAGGGCGGCGACAACTCCCGAGGGGACACTGGTTATTGTCGTTCAGCGGCAGAGACGGCGAAATAAGGAGAATAAGGGAGACCTTACTTGAGAAGGAATATCCACCTAATCAACAAGGGCTGGTTTCCGCAGCGGGATGTTGTGCACCTTGCCAGTAATTAATGTCGGAACTCACAATTGTTCCATCGTCTGAGCGACACCAAAGGCTGCGAGAAAGACTATAAACAACCCGACACCAACTAGAAGGCATGGTTCCCAACCGAAAATATCACTAACCTTGGCGGAGAGGACGAGGACGCCTGCAGAGATCGATCAATACCAGCAAGGGAGTTGGGGAGTGGCTACCTACCGGCATATCCAAGCATCCATGCCGTGGTAATCCAGGAGATCTTGTCCAGTCCGCCTAACTCAGTCGCTATACTGATCAGAGAGGTTGTTACGATAGGAATCTCGAGATTCTTTCAGAAGAGACACAGGCAAATTCTTTAAAGTCCAGGTTAGCGAGGTACACATACGCATTATAGCAGAAACTTGGGGAGGTCAAACTCACGTCGCAGTCATTACATGCAATGGATCCCCGTGAAGGTAGGGTGTGGCTGCATCAAGGTCATCATTGGGTGCTGTTGTATCTTATCTTCTAAAAATGCAGCTGAATAATGCGAGGTTGCGCACCAGTCCCGGCTTGGGTTCTTCCATGGCTGACAGAGAGTGTGAATATGTAAGAGGAAACTCCGAGCATAGAAGTTCCCAGAAATATTTCGATTTGGGGACCTCAAAGACCTTAACCAAAGATCCAGGATGATTGTGGGCACCATTCTGTCTCTACTGTCTGACCCGAATCTGATTGGTCCTTTTGCCTATAGTATCTACTAGGTAGTGCTGACTGCAGTGCCGGGTCACGGGTGTGTTGTATGGTTAAGTAATGCTTATGTCGCCCGTGCTTTTGAGCCCCCCTACTCGAATGTTGGGGATATCTTGCTTTACTCCCACCTTTAGATGCTTCTTGTTGAATATGCGAAGATGATATCTTTACCGTGTTCGGCCTCGTCCACGGCTGCAACCCGGAGCAGCCCTCCGATGGGCCTTCCTCGAGTACATCCTGATTTAGGCTGACCTACAAGCAGTCATCCCGGCGCGTCTCAATTTTTTAGGATGCGGCCACGCTGGGTGGTGTCGTAATCACCATCGGGCAATCGCTTTATTAGAGCCTACGGCTGGCTCTTCCTCCATCCTCTCCTCCATTTTCTCCCCCATACCAACCTCTCCACCACAACACATCCTCATCTATGGGTTTCGACCGCGGTCAGCATCGTGGCGATCCAATTCGCCAAGCTCTCCGACTACACGGTGGTCACGACCTGCTTACTGCCCCAGCATGAGTCCCTCGTCCGGAGTTGCGGCGCCGACCAAGTCTTCGACTACTGCGACCCGGCCCAACCAGATCCGCGAGGCAACACGGCTGTTGGATGAGGGGACCATTGTTCCGCACCCCGTGCAGTTTTGGGACGGGGGCTTGCCCGGGGTGATTCCGGGGTTGCATGCTTTGCGGGAGGGGAAGACGGTTCGGGGGTTAAGTTGGTGTTCGACGTTGAAGAGCAGAGCGGATGAAGATGAAGAAGATGATGATGTTTGTATTGTCAGACGGTGGGTTTGTTTCCATGTCTAATACCGTTCACGTGTAACTCGGCTCTTCGGAAGGCTGTTGACTTGCGAAACATGATCGAGAATTGAAAATAGCTGTGCACCATAATTTGGCTCGGATGGTTCAAGGCTATAAACAAAACCATGAAAGTCGCATGTTCCTGTCTATCAGTTGAAGACTCGAGGCTTTTATCAGACCAGGCCTCTCAGGCTAGGGGCGTTTGGTGAAAAGAGTGTCTCTGGTGTGCGGACCGAATCAGCGCCTGATGCACAAGAGTGCAGAGTTTTTGGAAGCCCATAGTTCCAGAATAGTATATACTTGTTTCTCTTCTGTCTTGGTGCTTCTTTTTCTTCCCAAATATCGGTTTGATACGAGATTGACATGACATTCTGCGCTTATGCAGTACCAATCTAGCAAAGAAGTGACGTCGCTCATGCATTAACGATCTTTGATCGAAAGTTGCATCAAGCGCAACGAGCCAATTATATTGTACAAGGAAATTGATCCTTGAATAACGCTTGGGTAGTCACCTGGTGGTGTACCCATTCGTCGCATCTTTGGATCGATTATGTACACGCAACATATGGACTTCATTGGCCACGAGTTTTCTTGGTAGAGTCATCGATGATCACAGAGCCTCAACTGAGCGGCGAAACTGTATGGCCATCGAGAGAGAGAGAGAGAGAGAGAGAGAGAGAGAGAGAGAGATGCCATGCCCCGTTGCTGGTCGCAACAACGTAAATCCCCTATAAAGTTGTTCTCTTCAAGTCTCAAGAATGTTCTAAGAGAAATGCCCTGCATGAAAGGGCTCACAGGCCATACGGGAGGTGGAACCACCGAAGAGAGCGGAATCGAGCAGTTCGTAGGAGCACGCTGCTCGTGAGTCGTGAGCCACCAATTTTCCCGTCGCCCCTGACTTCGTTAGCCCTTCGATAGCCCTGCTGATAGTCAGGAATGTGTATGCAGGATCAGAGACGAATGAATTGTTTATCGGAGCCGAGGAGCAAGGGAGAGCGCTAAACCATTCTAGAAAGGAAGAAGTGGGTTTCGACGCCGTATGACTAATGGGCGTTGCGCCATGTCATTCAGATCAGCGCCAATCAAACTGGCTCCCAAATGTGCAGTATACGCAGTGCATAATTTCCCGAGCATTGTCCGCGTTGAGTAAGTATGAGTGCAGCCACCCTTGGCGCCGAGGCGGGCTTCAAATGATTCCATGTCGTGCAATAAAGTTGTTTTGTGGCGATCGGCTCTTGGAGATATATGCCAGCTGTACTTACTTGCTATCTAGAGATATTGAATTTTGGTGTGTTGTAAGAGTCCTTGTGAATTTGAATTGCCTCGGCAACAAGGAAATGGTTCTCGAGCCGGATACCCGGCCAAATTTCGGAGCTAGTGGGGGAAAGAGTCGGCCATTAATGACAGACAAAGAAGAATAATGAGAATTATGATGCCTTTCACTGCATTACTCTTCGAAGGAGTAATAGGATACTTATCATATCATATTATTGCAGCAAGCTTGGAACCCTTTCCTGCTTGCCATGTGGTAGATGGAGACCAGGAGGTCGCATGGATTTTTAATCAAATTTAATAAGCTTAATTCACACCGACACTGACAGGGGCTGATCCATGTTTTGCTCCCGTCTGGTCATGGCCGTCATGCCCATCATTCCCTCTTGGGTTCGTTCTTCCCTCCCACGTCATGAGGTTTGACTTGGCCTCTCTCCCCATCTTCCCTTTTCGGAAAGAGACAATAGCCGGCCCTTGTGAATAATTTATTACTCTATGACTATCACCGGCTGATACTGAAGGATCAACTCTAAACTTCGTACGAGGGGAATCCCAAACTAACCCAACCGCGGTCAGAACGTTATTCGTGGTTCCGACCAATCAGGCCGGGAGTAGCTCGTGCCGTCCTCGGATTCGTTCCATCTAAGATGGATCCATGATGCCTCTCCCACAAACTTGAACAGAAATTGTGCCCCTCGGCAGGCGTCCGAAATGCTCTCGAAGAAAGTCAAAACAATAGTACCTTTAGCACGCGTGTGTTGCTACGGATAATGCGAACTGCGCCAGAAGCAAAAAAAAAAATCCGAGGACCTGCCACGACACGAGAGGAAAGATTCCGCATTGGTCGAGTCAGGAACCCGTTGCCCTGGTGGAGCCAGCCGCCCGAATTGGGGAGGCAACTCCGTGGTCGGACGGTCCCCGTTCTTGTCAGGGCTGTCATCACCGTGTGAGGTGCCCCATCCAGACCTCCCTCGTTCTCCTTTTGCCCGCACACACTCCCTATGTAGAGAATTTAGTTTTTTTCTCTGCCCGTGAGAGTTGTTGGTTGCCCACGCATGGTGTCGCGGATTTGCAACCTGCGTGGCGTGGTTGTGGATCAAAAGGGGGTGTGCATGCAATTCTTGTTGAGAGAGAGAGAGAAAGATAGAGACAAGAGAGAAGAGTCTCCTACATTAGGATAATCAAGAAGTGACTACATAAGGCGGAGACTTTAATTAACCAAGAAACCTCCGCATTAGCTCTTGTCGAAAATCTCCTGCCATCATTATTTCTACTTTTCCCTTTCTTATCTGCATCCTTCCACAGATTGCATCATTCCATCAATAACATCCTTCTGATAATCATGGCCGCTCAACATACCATCACGGTCCCCCACTTGGGTGGCATCGAAGTCGGCTATGCCCTGTCCAACAACAACACCTATGACCCCTCCAAGCCGACCTGCGTGCTCATCAACTCGATGTGCATGACCGCGTCGCTCTACCGCCCCCAGTTCGAGGATGCCGAGTTGACCAACACCACCAACCTGCTGGCCATCGAGCCGCTTGGCCATGGCGCCACCCGCTGTCTGGCGCCCGCCGCCGAACACTTCACCTACTGGGACTCGGCCATCATGGCCCTTCAAGTGATGGAAAAACTGGGCATCCAGAAGGCCTTTGCCCTGGGAACTAGCCAGGGAGGATGGGTTGTAGCACGCATGGCCCTTTTGGCACCAGATAGGGTTGGTTATTCCCATTTTGATTGTCTCAACAGGGGGGAATAAACGATCGCATTGACTAACCTCACGTGCTTTCTTCTTATTTTCTATTGATAGATCCTTGGCATCCTGCCCTTAGGTACTTCGATGGACTACGAATCGGCCGACTCCCGCAGCAAGGACTGCTGGGACCCCGTCACCCTGCTGACCCCATTCCTGGAGAAATGGACGAGCGAGACTCCCACCCCGGATTTTGTGGTCGACGATGTGTGGTGCGGGATGGTCGCGGGGATCGGCTTCGGGGCGTCGGGAACGCCCGAGACGACCGACTTCTGGGTGCAGACGCTGAAGCAGGTCTACACGGGGGATGAGGGACGCAAGAAGGTGCGCATGGCCTTGATGTGCCTGTTGACGCGGGACGGGCTGCTTCTGCGCCTGAAGGATGTGCGGTGCCCCGTGTATTGGCTCCAGGTGAGTGAACCCCCGCGGCATGATTCTACATATGGGAAAAGCGTCAGGATGGCTAATGTGTTGTATTTCGCTTGATTCAGGGGACGGAGGATTTCCCCTTCAAGACCACGGTCCCCGCAGAACAGATCCAGCGGTTCTCCGCTAGTCAGGAGGCTAAATTGCAGATGGTGGAGGGAGGGGCCCATTACCTGAATGCCACGCATCCGCGGGAGGTTAACGCGGCGATCCGTGAGATGGTCACTCGCTACGGTGCCTGAGCGGGCTACAGGGGAAGCTACAAGAAAAATTGGATCTTAGGCTACTACTGAAGGGGCGCAGATAGATTATGAAGAGTAAGTAGTACACAGTACACAGTTAGTGCCAGGAGAGAGTTGGAACAGTTCAGGAACGAACTGCATGCCAACCAGTGCCAAGTGGGCAGGACAACCCGAAACTGCTAAAGGATTGACACATCGGATGGGGCGACCTCGAGTTAGGGTCTTTCTAGTGGCTTCGACTACTTGGAGCCGGCGCTTCCTTGGCCGAAGGTTGAATAAATGTTAACAAGCCTTGGCCGCCGGACTCGCTGGTCCAGCCCTAATTGGGACGGACAGTGGAACCTGAACATGTAAATTTTTTGACACTGACAGGCGGCGAACGCGAACGACAGCTCCATGCCTCCATCAATCCAACCAGCAATTCGTTTTTTCTATTTCTCTTTGCTTTTTCTTCATTCCCCAAAGTTCGGTTCGAGGCTACACTAGTTCATTGTTGGCCACGCGGCGTAGAACTCCCCCCCTCCCCCCAAAGTACGAGTAAAATTCGCCTGAGCCCATCCCCAAATGTAGTGTTTGTCGGCAGCTTCGGGCAGTGGGTCTCCCACCAAAGGTTCTGTCCATGCACGGCTCCCATATTAATAGCGATCGTCTGCCCACCTGAGACTGATTCGAGGTCTCGCTTTCCCTGGCCAGCCGTTTTCTTCCCCGGTGTAAGTGGTCATGGCGATGGATGAACAGCGGTGGGCGACCGCCACCACCACCTCCGTGACGGTGCTTGCCTTTCTGTGTGTTGTGCTGCGGATCGTTTCTCGACTGGAACGTAAGCAGAAACTCTGGTGGGATGACTGGATGATCATCTTTTCCATGGTATGTACTCTGCGGTGTACAGTACTGTACTTCGATCCTCTCGAATCACACTGACACACCACACCATCTAGGGGTGGAACTTCGTCGTGGTCGGCTTCATCTATGCCATGATCCACGAAGGCATGGGCATCCACGCCGACCAATTACCGACTGGACAAGTCATCCTGATCGCCAAGTTCCTGGTCGTGGCCGAGATCCTCTACGTCTTCAACCTGGTCTGGACCAAGCTCAGCATTCTGCTGATGTACTATCGCATCTTCCGCTTTGCCTACTTCAAACGCTGGGCCTATATCATCGGCACCTTTGTGATCTGCTGGGTCATCTGCATCACCTTCCTGTTCATCTTCATCTGCGTCCCCGTGCAGAAACTCTGGTACCCGAGTCTCCCCGGCCACTGCATCTCCCAGGTCGGCACCTGGATCGCCAATGCCACCTCGACCATCGCCACCGATCTGGTGATCCTCTTCCTCCCACTACCCCAAGTCTGGAAGCTGCAGCTCCGCCTGTCTGAGAAGGTGGCCTTGACCATCGCATTTGGCCTAGGGTTCTTGTAAGTTCACCCTACAGCACTTCCTTACCCAGCCCTCGGACAAACGGCCCACCAACTGACACAAAAAAAAAAAAAAAAAACAGCGTGGGCAACGGCATGTTCAATGACGACTTGCCCTCC